TGCTATCATACGTTGCGAGGGCGGGGAGAACAGCTGTGGTAAATTAGAGGCGTGATACATGTGATCGTTTATTTTCGTGCGGCGCGCTCCCTGTCGTGGTTCTCTGCTGTCTTTTTTTTTCTGGCAACATCGAAGGAGGGCAACGAGGACTTAGACGTTCACTAATAATACACATATGCATACATATTCGATCCACGATCCACATCGTTCTCTGTTGGTCCCGCAAAGCTTGAGCGCTGCATTATGAAATCAACACCTCCTCAGTAGTGCCGGACCGGCACTACTGAGGCTTCGAATATCCCTCAGTAGTGCCGGACCGGCACTACTGAGCCACTGTTCTGAATACTGCCGGTGCCCGGTATAGTGCCGCTATTTTCTCGGGACACTACCCGGCACTTTAGAGGGCCCAGTACTGTAATTCATCAATAAGTCATCACCACGACATCCAAATGGGAAAGTAAGTATATTTTCGTGATCCTCGTGACCTCACGGATGTTGGTACGAATTTTCAGAGGTTGGGAACCATTTCTTGCTGCTCATTGAAAAACTCGTGGAAACTATTCGTCTTTACCGTGGAACACCCCAAAGGTGTACACCGCCCTTGTGGGGAGCAGTTGGCTTGCCAGTTGGACTTGTACGGACATTGATTAGAAGTACGGTGACGACCGTGACGACCGAAACGTTTTTTTAGAGGGAAACGTCGTAGGTTTGAAGTACTCAAAATTCGGGCGGGTCGGCCACGAGGGATAAAATAAAAAACCTTCCTTTTGCGGGTCGGCGAGATCGCAACCCGGCGCGAGATCGCGATTTCACCAACGACGCCGGTGAAATCCACCAGGATCAAGAGCATCTTCTCCTGCATTTTTTTTTTTTTTCACTCACCGTGTGACGTGTGGCATCTCCCCGACCTGCCGACTGGTGCAGTCTCTCTCCGCCTTTGGCGGTACTTGCACATCCGGTCGGTGTTTGATTGGGAAGCGGAGCTGCTGTATCCACGCATCACCACACTGACTGTTGTCTACTGCCCACGCCCATCCTCACATTCCCGAGGCACACAACGGCTGATAGATGCACATACATACGCATAAATACGCGCGTGGATTCCATGGCCGGCCAGCAGGGACTGTAGTTGTGGACACCACCACCACCACCACCAGCGAACTGCGGCAAACATCTGCTAATATACGGCAATTTTTCGGAAACAATAATTTTCGTTTGAAGTTGGCGTCTTGTTTGAGAGTAGATGTGACAGGTTTGCGTAGAATGGTACGATGTTATCATGAACGGAGAAGAAAGGGCTTTTCCAACACGGAGATGTAGCAAGGATCAAAGCATTTGTTGGATTTCAGCTTTTACAAGAGGACATCAACGCATTAGTATTTTAGTTAGCTTACGAACGCATGTAGGGTACCATGAGGTCTGTCATTGGTTTTGTTTCAAATTGAAGAGGAGATATTTTTACGATGTGACAGTAGAAATAAGTCCTACATATGTTGTTGTACTTCGTATTGGTTTAATATTCATGTAGGGTATGAGACATCAAGTGAAAGTTTTCTGAGGTAGTCTACATCGGCAATTGTCGGAAGTCAAACAAAATCAGAATGGTAATTTTCCGCATGAAGTTGATTCATGTGCCTTGTCTCCACGCAAATGGTAGTCTAGTTTATGACAATTAAACAGACCTATGCTATGTCGCTCCACGCCATTGCGTACTGCTGACTCCCTCACTTTACTGAATGACGAGGAGGGCTACGTCCCAGGGCATGAAACCCATCGCAACATAAGGAGGGGGTATGCCAGAACCAGCAACTAGCCAGTCCCTGGAACGAGTACCGGTGATCGTGGAGCGCGCGCACCAAGTACATTGGCTCGGGATTCGATGTGCAACGGTCGCAATGGCAGCTGCAGCGGCTGCAGCAGCTGCACCAGCGGCGGCACAGGCACGACCCGCGGCGATCTCAAAGCACGCTCTACCGTTTTCCTGCAGCAGCTACAACAGCAACAGCAACAGCAACAACACGCCCAACCGGTTGTTGACAGCAGCAAGGCGCAGCAACACTTGCAGACGAGAACGACGAACGCAGGGAGAAGAGCAGCAGAAATGGTGCCGATGTTGACAGCGGCAGCAGCAGCACATGCGATGAAAAGCGAGGGGGAAAGCGTGGGGTGGGATGAGCACCAACAACGACGTACAAGTTGACACCAATAGCAGAGACGGCATCACCAGCGTCTGGTGTCCTGGAAGCAGATGCCGTCAGCGCTGGGTTGGTCGATCATGAGCACGACCGTGTCTCGAACATGCCGGTCTTGAGTGCCGGACCGCACTTCTCCCACAATCCCGGAAGCTCGACAGGAGGTTCCTTGACGTCATTGTTCAGGCTGAACAACAAACCGAAGCAACAGGAGGGACCGCCGCGGCGGCGGCGCTACAGACAGGAGCACAACATGGATTCGTGGACACCGAGGACAGGGGGGCGTGACATCGACACGACACCGCCGAACTCCCGACCCCGAGTCCGCAAGATGCCCTCCATGCTCGGCATGCTGCAGAATGCCCAGGACCAGGCAGCCTCACCACCTGTATCTCCCCGCAACTCCCGTTGTCCCGACGGCGGCAGCCTTGTTCCGGGTAAAGGGTGATGGCGAGTCTTCCGCGACTGCTGCGATCTCGGATGGAGGTGCCACTGGCGGAAACGATCTAGCTGGTCATCAGCTCACCTCAAGGCGCATAGGCGTGGTGGACCTTGGTGGGGGTAGGGAGGCGTCACGAAGAAACCCGACGCCCGTACCGGCGGCGGCGGTGGTGAACAAAGGAAGGGAGCGGTCGCCTTTGCCGTCGCTGCCCATCAGCCGGACGCCTACCGTCGACCACGAAGAAGCGCCAAGGCTGGTCGGCACTTTATGGCGACTGAGGCAAATTTCCGTACGAATCATCCAGCGGTTGCCGGGACCCAAGCTGCTCATGCAGGGTGAGTGAAGTACTACTGTACAAGGTGAACTGATGCTGGTGGCTTGTGCGCAGGGAATCCAGATTGGGGTGGTCGGCCAGCCGATTCGTATATCCACACCGACCAAGCGGACAACAATATTGTAATATTTTCTTCTAGTCCGTGAGGGTATGTATGTGCTTTCGTCCAATCGATGTGTTCTGGCGCCATTCGAGAAGGTACGCTTCTTCCGGACAATAAACTAGCATAGGTAATTACAGGCACATTGTTTGTCCGACCTTCCCCCGAAGTTGTTCGCCTTGTATCACGGTTAGGGTTGATCACCACCTCCTCTTCAACAATGAATTTTCAGTATCACCAATTTTGTCTGTCGGCTTCCGCCGCAGATCACAGGTCATTCCCGAGAGGAATTTGAATACGACCTACGACCAGCAGGTTTTCGAGGTTCACCACTGGGCTATCGCCACAAGAGTATTATGGAACCGATGTTTTCGGGGTGGGCAACACACCAACCGTGCACACGCGTGCGTGATGGACCGCAAGTTGGTGAACCCCCTGAACACGCTGTGCAAAAGCCATCCAACCCGAAGGCTCGCGTTCCTGAACAAACGATTCATCGGCGATTCGATCCTCCCAATTCGCCCCTTCGTCCTTGGTCCGCCCCCACGCAAACATGATTCATCCGTCAAAACACTAGCAACAGTCCTCGGGGAAGCAATTGACCCCAAGAACGTGCGGCTCACGACTCAGTCCGAGCCGGTCATCCTGATGGAAGTGATGCCGGCGGCCCTCGTGATCTCCCTGCTGGCCTTGACCTATCTCGTCTTCGCCAGCAGTGTGTTCCTCATCGTGTGGTTCCACCTCCGCGGGACCACGACGCTCGCCGTGGGTCCGGGGTCAGGGGAGGGGGCAGCGGAGCTATGCGCCAGGAGATCATCTTCCACAGTCACTATTACTACCAGCGGGGGAGAAGGAGACGTTTTCATCATCGGGGCTCACGGTCCCGACCCGCACTCCCCGTCCGCCGCGGGATGCACGGTGTTTTCGCCGGGCTTGTCGGGGCTGTCCCTCGATTCACCCATTCTGTCATCATCGTCGTCAACCTCGTCCTCCTTGACGGACGCTGAGGAGCGGTAGGGGGCCGTGTTCTCTGGCCAATTTTCGGGAATGACGGACCTTTTCGGGACCGTGTCACTGCACGTATCATTTGCCGACACCGAGCTACAATAGTCTCTGCCCGACCCGGCCGCGGTGGACATCGCGTTGGAGACGTGCGTGGCAGGGGTGTCTGCGGCGGTAGGCGAGCATTGGCCAGGCGGACGTAGAATGGGGCACCTGCGAGGAGGGCTAGCTGCCTGTGCTGTTCCAGGTAAACCACATTTTTGCGAACTCCGCTTGTTGTATCGCCTTGTTCCGCCGCCTGTCTGTCGTAGCCGTTTCTCGTACCATGTCATTTTTTTTGTAGCTTCTCGAAGGAGATAGGTGAGGGCTTCTCCTTACCACCGCCGTTGCTGCTCCTCGGCTGCAGGAACGAAGTGGCGTCTAGGCGGACGATCGAGTCCTCCGTGAAACTTCCCTGTATATCCTTCCCCCTTTCGTTTCGCCTCCTGCCAGGAGAACATCTCCGCTCGAGTTCGCAGGCTTGCTGAAAACCGGGGGTACACCCTGTTCAACTTCTACCAGAACCAGGACACCATCTGGGGGCAAGCCCTCGTTCGCCAGTATCGGGTCCAGGTATGCTCACACCCAGGTCCTCGACAAAAACAATTTGACCGATTCGAGAGAACACGCCACCCTCAGAGCGACGACCGTGAACTCCACTGACTTGTCAAGCCTCGTCTTATGGTTGCGGGTTTGGAGGAATGGCGGCGGGAGCGGTGTTTTCCCTAGTTTCCGGCCGATTTAGGCTCTCTCTTCGTGCTTTCGCCCATCGGCATCATCCCTGGATCGTCCACGTTGGCTTTGTTTCCACCACCGCCAGCTCTAGCAGCACCGGTGGGAGCAGTGACAGCGCCGAGGAGTCTTTCAGCTGGGTGAGCGAGGCAATGTGGTCCCTTGAGTACGAAAGCGGCGCGACGACGGAATGGGAGAAGATTGTTCTCGCAGTCCTGCTGATGTGCTGGGTGCCCGTGTGGCTAGCGTGGTGCTTGACTGTTTTCTACAAGTCTTCGGAGAGAGGGTTCAAGGTGCGTTCATATTTTTTACGGGGCGGAGGTTCCGGCGAGTTGCTATCGAATTCGTGTTCGGCGGCTCAAAGATAGACGTATTTCTCAGACATGCACCACTCAAAATGGTACACGCCTCCATGAGAACGCGGCTATGGGCTAGATGAGCTGCCGTGGTTCACTCGCCCGAGCTGCCTCGTCCAGCAAAGCCTATCCTGATCAGCGAGCACGAGCGGCTGACGTTCGGGTGCTCTACGGAATATACCTGTTGTACCCACCGCAGCTGAATACTGGTACACAACAGGGGCATTACGGAAGAAACAGTGAAGGTGACGTATGGTCTTGGAGAAAACACATGCATTCCCCCCTTCCGCATCCAAAAATGACACGCATACCATCGATCGCTTGCTTTGTCGCCTGCTTGTTCCCCACTTCCCTTTGTCCCCAGAACGCCTGGCATGAGCGGAAATGGCTGTCTTCCCTCGGTTTGTCGGTGGTATTCTACCTTAACCCCATCAAGGTGGTCGGCAACTTTGCCTCCCCCGAGTCCGCTTCATGGGACCTGACGAGCGAGATGTGTTTCAGCGTCGCCGCGGTTTTCTGGTGGTACGTCTCTGTATCGCCGGCGGGGTGGGCAGGGACTGGATAGGCGGAGGGCTCCTCGGCTTCTATGTCCCCAAGGTGAATGGAGCGTGCGCTTTTGCGTGTACACCCGCGTACATTGTCGACTCCAACAATATCCCATATATCTTGAGAGCGAAAGCTGCTCGCTGTGAATTTTTCGCGTTGTAGAATTCGACGAGACTTGCTGCCGTTTGTGCTGCCAAACCAACCATCAAATCATTGCCTCACGCGACGTGGCGGAGACGATTTCGCACCTGTATTCCGTCGGGAAACATCAAGTATCATATCTAGTCACCTTTCGTTTTCAACAACCTTCGTGCTGCACACTCTCTGCTGCGTTTAGCCTGGATGGGATCATCACAAAGCACATATGCGGCGAACGGTTGGGGACCGCTGAGAGCTTGAGCCTTGCGAAGTGGGTGCATCTGCATATCCCAGTGGCAGGATGTAACGATTGACCACCTCTGCAGATATCACTGGGGTTTGCCAAGTGTACGGCCCCGCCAACTCCTAGAATGGCTACCAAGCCCCGCCATCCCCAAACCCCCGCTGTGTTTTGGTGCTGTTCGTGTGTTTGGATACGGACTGGTTAGATCTACCGGCAACAACAGAGGGCACGCAGATGGGGCATATGTACACCTTGAAATGGTTGCATGTGCGGGGATCCCTCGAACTCTAAAGAGGGCTTCACTTCTCCCTACTCCCCTTGCGTGTCTGATACAAGAGATAAAACGTCTTCCCCTTCCAAGTAAAGGATATATACGAACACACTAGTGTCAGTCCCTCGAGGGAGAGTCCATTAGGAATGTCAGGTCGCAAAGATGGGGGTGACTCCTCCAGCGACTCTGCGGCGGAAGACAGAAAGAGGTCAAGAGAAGAGGTCTTGGCCCTGAGGACGCAAGTTAGCTCGCTGACGGATCAGATGAGCCAGCTAATGTCGCTAGTGGAAGATACCATGAAGACAAGCAAGAAGGAGGAGCCAGCTGGCACCATGGAGGGTGCCGCTGATCGCGGCGATGCTAGGGAGAGCGCCGCCGCGGAGTCCACGAACGCCGAAGGAGGGGCACCGTGGACCGGGAGTGCGCAGGACGGGAGGTACCTGCGCGAAACTGTTCGAGAGTCTGGCCCGTCAGGGCGACACAGGGGCGAAGCAGGGGGCTTTGTCCGCCAAGAGGTGAGAATAGCCGCTGCTCACAACCAAGATTATAGTAGTGCCATGGGAGATGGTGGTGCTGCTGTTGGCTTTGGATACGGAGCCACAACCCCAGCGACGGGGTACCAAATTGTGCGGTACACTTCTCCTCCGTTCAGCGGGAAATCGAACGATTTCATCGAATAGCTAAATGATTTCCGCATGGCAGCTAATGGCGCAAACCTGTTGGAACAATTTGAAGAGAGCGGGAGCTTGGAGATCCCCGTCAACAGCGGAAAGAGCAAGTTTTCGCTGTCACAGCAGTACCGGAGCGAGCAAGTAGAGCTCGCATTCCACGCGTGGAACTTCCTGTCTCACGCGTTGAAAGAAAAAGATCGGAAAATCATGAAGAGGGCAGAGACGCCCCAGGGAGCTCTTCGTGAGCTCAAGACTATACACGACCCTGAATCATCTGTACAGCCGTCAGAGAACCTCAAGTCTCTGATGTCGACCAAGATCTCTAGAGGTGAAAACCCCCAAAACGCCTTAAATGAGATGCTCCAAACCGCAAAGTCCTTAACCGAGAAAGGACTAACTGTCAACGAAACGTTCGTCCTTCACCTCTTCCTGGATGCCCTTTCGGACGAGGATGTCATGACAAAGCACAACCTGCGACGCGCGAAGGAGTTGACGCAGACCGGTGGGCTAATNCCAGGGAGCTCTTCGTGAGCTCAAGACCATACACGACCCTGAATCATCTGCACAGCCGTCAGAGGACCTCAAGTCCCTAACGTCGACCATGATCTCTAGAGGTGAAAACCCCCAAAACGCCCTAAATGAGATGCTCCAAACCGCGAAGTCCTTAACCGAGAAAGGACTAACTGTCAACGAAACGTTCGTCCTTCACCTCTTCCTGGATGCCCTTTCGGACGAGGATGTCATGACAAAGCACAACCTGCGACGCGCGAAGGAGTTGACGCAGACCGGTGGGCTAATGGAAGTAATGATCGAATACAAGGCGATCAAGGACAAGCTGGAGCAGGGGAAAGGAAAGGGGGCGAAGGGCGCAGAGCAAGCATACTTCGCCGACGGTGAGGGCCGCAGGGAGCGGTACTCAAGTAGGAGTCAGGGGCAAGGTCGTGGTCGTGGCGGCGGCCGTGGCCGCAACAGCAGTCGTGGCAGCGGCGGAGGCGGAGGCGGTCGCGGCGGCGGCGGCGGCGGCGGCGGCGGCGGCGGTCGCGGCGGCCGCTCAGGCGGATCCGGAGGAATCGAGGAGAGCAAGGGAAGCAGCAGTGGAGGCGCCGATGGCGGCGGTGTCGGGGACTAAAAGTTCCCGGGACGGTGCTTTAGGTGTGGACATCGTGGACATCGAGCGATCGGCTGCAATACGNGGCAAGGTCGTGGTCGTGGCGGCGGCCGTGGCCGCAACAGCAGTCGTGGCAGCGGCGGAGGCGGAGGCGGTCGCGGCGGCGGCGGCGGCGGCGGCGGCGGCGGCGGTCGCGGCGGCCGCTCAGGCGGATCCGGAGGAATCGAGGAGAGCAAGGGAAGCAGCAGTGGAGGCGCCGATGGCGGCGGTGTCGGGGACTAAAAGTTCCCGGGACGGTGCTTTAGGTGTGGACATCGTGGACATCGAGCGATCGGCTGCAATACGAACGAGAAGGACTTCGTGCCGTGGTGTGCGCGCTGCGAGGGGTGGGGCCACACGAAAGAAAAGTGCGCGACGGAGGCGGCCGTCCTAGCGCAAGTGGTGGCGCATGAGAGCGACGTGGAAGACTAGGCGTTTTGTGCCGTGGCAGTCCCCCCAGGCGAGTGTGGTACCGTTGGTGAAGTAGGTCTAGTGGGAGTTGTGGAACAAGGCCAGGCGGTGTACGTGGCCGACACAGCGGCCACGTGCTCCATGTTCCGATGTGCAGACAGCTTCGTGAACTACCGTGAGCGTACCGGTTGGGTGAAGGGAATCGGAGGCGTCAAGGCCCCCGTTCCTCTTCTAGGATACGGAGATGTGACCTTAGTCCTACAGACGGAAGTTGGTGGAGTACCCGTACCAGTACTGAATGCTGCCCATGTACCAGAGGCCCGCTACAACCTCCTCTCGCTGTCTTCGTTGGCGGAGGAGGGCCACACGTATTCGGGGATGGAGGGGGGCCTCACGCTGACCACGAAAGCCGGGGGAGAGGTGTGGTTCCCCCGTACTGGAAAGCTGCTGACCCAACGAGGCTATCAAATAAAGCCAACGCTACACACCGCCTGTGCCGCACTCGTTGTTCCTGGCGATGCGAAAGCAGCCAACCCCACTGA